ACGTGACTACGGGGGGGGCGGGGCATACCCACAAGGCTTGCCCTGCCACCAGCTAAACTCAGAACGTACCTATGGCCCTTGCCAGGAAGCAGTCCAACAGTGCAGCTTTGCCATCATTACACGGCTCAGCTTCTTGCACGCCAGGCAGCAGCACACATGCAAGAGCCTGCTCAGTGGAACCACCAGACCAGAGTACAAATCCTGTTGGGCCCCGAGACCCGCCAGCCACCCGGTGACTAACTCCTCCGATCCTGTGCACACTCGCCTGCTGGGCTGGGCCCGGAGACCCGCCAGCCGCCCTGGATCTAGCTCTTCATCTGCAGGATATTTGTGAGTAAACAAAACAGTACATATGAAATGCATGGTCACGTGGCTTATATTCAACAAATGTCAGTCCACTGAATTTCAAAGACTGCAGCCTCTTAACCGATCTTTAGACTTAGGCCATCCAACACAGAGACTGCCCCCCCCCGCAACACACACACACAGGCTGTAGGGCATGTGAAACGTGGCTGAACTGGAATGAGAAGAGCTGTGTGACAAATACAAACCAAATTTCAAAGACTTAACATGAAAAGAAGATCTCAATGCTTTTATGTTAACTGTATGTTGAAACATTTCGGATAACCTAGGTTAAAGAGATTATTAAAATGAGCTTCATGTTTTTTACTTTACGTAGTTACCACAAGTGTTATAATTATGAATGTGGTTTGCATTATATTTGTTGGACAGCACTATCGAGACAATGAGCTATCCTGCAGAGCTGAAGTGGAGGAGAAAGCCTAGTTATTTACTCTGGAAAATCAGCCTGGATACATAGGTGACTAATCGCTCACCCCACAAAATAATTTGGCAAGACACAAAGATTTAAGACAGAGGATCAACTTTGACACTTTTTGCCCGGAAAAGTTAAATACAACTATAATATTTGAGTAGAATCTGACTTTCTTTGCTTTGAAGTACCTACAAGATGTTCAGAGAATACTCACCTCCCAAATTTAACTCAACTTCCTTAAATAAAAGGCAAGATCTGACAAAGGCATAGTGAAAAAACTTCAAGAGTTTTATCAATAAAAGTCAAACCCTATGAGATGACCAACCACTTCCAGCTAACCACTGTGTCAACCGTAAAGAGGACTAGTTAAGGAAAATACTGCCATGTGGCCTTGAATATACCTTCACACAAAGTTGCAGTAAGCAGCTGAACTATCCATCTGTCTCAATCCAAGGCAAAAGTAACACTTGCTGGGGGCACTCCATCCCTAGGAAAAGGACTATAAATGAACTTTGCACTTAGTTTCAATTAATTCTTAAACCTCTGTTAACAAGTTTTAAGTTTCTATGTAAGCACGTTTTAATTTTGATCCTATTTTTAAATATTCTTTTAGACAAAATTTCAATCACAACCCTGGCTAAAAATCTCAAAGAACATCAAGCATTATACATACTACTATAATAGAAGAATCTGTCCTTCACTGTATTTTTGAAGAGTGTTTTTGGAAACACATAAGACAATGTTTTCCAAAACCTCCCCGCTAACTCCATCAGCCCAGCTGATTCCAATGCTGGAGTGCCTGCCTGAACTCCTTTCTGTTCTCTGGACATCAGAGAGAGTGCCTTCCTCACAGAGGGAGATGCTCTTGCAGCCGGAGCGCCAGCCTACACAGAGCCGCCCCTCCAGCCCGGACACCGCTGAGCAGGAGAGCGCGAAAAGGCCGGGAGGAAACACGGGCCCCATCTGAGGTCTGGAACCTTTGTCCTCCTGGGCCAGCGCACAATGCAGGACATCTGGAGTGTCCCCCATCTGCTTTACCACCTACCCAGAAATGGGGGCATCATGGAGGATATAGGAGAAATAAAGCCCAAACATTTATCCCAAGAAGTTTCTTTATCCTCCAGAGGTAAAGAAAACACACGACAGGTACAAGGAATGTCTGCCCACCACCGCTGGCAAGCGGAAGGGAGAAGGATCCTGGGGACAGTTTGGCAAGTGTTCAAAGCATTTAAAAGCCCCTACACCTTTAACCTAGCAGTGCCCTATCTGAAGACTAATGCTGATGCCCCAACAGTGGTTCACGGGGTAAGTGTTGAGAACAGACGCACTGGGCTAGGCTTCCTCACTGCCAGACCACAGCTGTGCTAAGTCAAGACGGAGGAGAACATGCAACATGTGCAGTCCTTTAGAAAAGGTTACAAATAAAGACACAACTGAGAACTGAAACCAGAGACCAAATGGAGACTCCGGAAAACTATACGATAGAGCACTTAGTCCCCATGACCAAGATTCGCTTTCACCATGTTGCACGGAAGTCTAGGACAATTCTGTCCTTGCTACATATACTGGGCAAACTAGGGGCTCTCCAAACAACGTTCTCAAAAGTAACTGGAGAACCACAGGGCCGGCCCCTTCTGTCAGTAAGTTTAAGTATCAGCCTTAATTACCCAAACAGTTCTAAACAGGAGCATCTCTCAGTAAATCTTACCTCACCACACCAGGAGGAACATGGGGGAAAACCTGAATTCTTAACAAATTCCATACTATTTCAAGGAAATAAAAGATTCAAATAAGGTGCAAGATGGGTAGCAAAGAGAAAAACAAAAAGGTCACCCAAGCGACATGTGTGGTTTTCCTACAGCTGTTTTTTCCAAGTTTAAAAATGTTTTCCAACTTAAAACCTAAACTGCTTCTCAAGGTTTAATAAATGCAAACCATACAACGTTCCTTTAAAATTAAAACTCTCTTCATAACCAGAACCACCTATTAGGGGAAATACCTGGTTTTCTACAGCTAATTAAGATAACTGATATAGTAATCCTGATACTCAATTCTTCTTTTCCTTCAAGAAATCTTAGCATAATTTAAAATGGTGGTAAAATACATATACCAAAAATAGTCCATTATAAACACATTTCACTCAACTCTTGGAAAAAAGCACCTTGACACGTACTAGAACAAAAGCTAATCTGGAATTCAAGCTCAGTTTTAAGAATTGGGGTTGTCCTTTCAAACAGTTTCTCTCATCTTTCAGAATGTCATAAAAATGAAACCTGTAAAGCCTGGAACGCACCTCAAAAGGGCAAGGTCCTTCCCTGCCTGTTCCCTTTCTACATAATTTTCTTTAAAGCCCCTGGGGAAACGCTGCACAGGGTCCGTGTGCGAGGCCAGGTTTCCGGGAACAGGCCAGCCCCTTCACACCACTGATGAACTGATGAGAACAAGTCTGGAAGCCCAAGCTGGGTTCACACCACACCAAACTTTCTCAGAGTGACTTCGGGCGCAGGGTGGGGGGAGGGGGGAGAAACAACAATTTGAGGGTTTTGATGTGCTGTTTTCTCAATTATCTCAGGTAATTATGAGTTTTAAGTGTGACTTTCAACTGAGCTTGGAAGAATACTAACAATGTGCCTGTTTATTAGAATAATTTACTCTTTAAAAATAAGCCACCCAAGTTTCCTTGTAAATAAAAATTACTATCAACTACAAATTTATTGAAGGCCTACTGTATGCCAAGAACCGTTCTAGGTGCTTAGGATAGGTTAGTGACCTCTCCTAGCACATCTTTAAACTATTCTAAAGAATAGTCGGAATATGAAATTTCAACAGCAACCTCTGGAAAACAAAGGATGAGAGATTTTTAAGACTCAGCTTTAATACCTTCTTGAAGAGTCCCACACTGAAGGTGTGAGATTATAATCTAATGTGCAAACTGAATTTCAAATTTACGGTAACAATAAACAAAACTTGCTTTCAAGAAAATACAGTCTCACAACAAAAGTCAGGGAAAAGCAAACACGGCTACCAGCAAAGCATATTCTCACAGCCTGATAAGGAAGGCAAGGGTAAAATGACAAAGGCTTTTTCTGAAGCAATGTCGCCCCCTCCTAAACAGCCCTCTGGTCTCTGGAATCTCTAGAAAGCACTGAACTTATCTGTAAGTGACTTCATCACAGACATCAATTACTACTACTATGATATCTTAACGCTCACAATCATGCCTAAGAACGGTATTTTGATCTCTTAATTCCTGTCTAATTAGCAGATAAGTTGTCTGTGTAACATTTCCTCATAGATCTGAAGGTTTCTCGGTTTTTTCCTCCAAGAAACTTACACTAAGCCTGTCCTTTTAGGAGGGGAAACCTTTACAGAATCATCCTACCTAATAGGTTCTGTTGGAGATGCATTCATTCGCTCTTCCCTACAAGCCTGACAGAACGCGCCTCAATTCGGAGAAGGAAACAAAGGCTAAGGGTGGTAAAGCAGCAGGCAGAGAAAGACTTAGGCACAGAACTGACCACAACCACGCTGACTTGTAATTCCCAAATAAAAGAACCGCATAGATTTCTGGATCTAAAGCACTACCCCAAGATCAAGAAAAATCATATAATAAACTAAGCTGAAAAGGTTTCCAGAGAGCTGCCACCAAAAAATTGTGTTTAGCACACTGACAAAACCTTACCCAGCATAGAAAAGACACACCGCCCAATACGGCCCCCAAGACAGAGCTTAGCTTGTCTCTACCCTACACACCAAATGTTTAAATTTTAAAAATTAAAAATTTTCAATTCAAAAATTAAAGTAAAAACCACCTAATTTCTGGCTGAAGAAAGGAGTGAGGCTGGGAGGCCTTCGGGCCCTTTTCATGACTGCCCGGCTTGGCCTGATTACCTGCCGAGCACTCCGAGGGGCTGACCCAGACCTGAACACGGGTCCCCAGGGAATCCCTAAAAGCAGAGCTCAAGCGAAGGCGGAGACCAAGGAATCAGACCGCAACCCCGTCGTCGCCAACGTGGGACCCCCGCCCACGAGCCACTGGGGCTTTTCCTCACAGCAGCGAGGGCCAGGCGTGGGGCTGCGCACGGCGGCTCCTCCCCGCCCCGGGAGCGCGTTCACACGCTGGGGCGGCCCGCGAGCCAGGCCTCCGGGCGCCACGGCCGCGGGCCCTTCCCCCAGCCCGCCCGCCCCCTCCCCGGGCCGCGCCCCGCGCCCGCTGCCCACTCACCTCCAGGCGCAGGGAGGCCCCGCAGCCTCGCAGGAACTCGCGGATATTGCTCAGGCACTCGCTCTCGCTCCGGGGCTCCGGGTAAACCTGCAACACACAACACAGGCGCTGAGCGGCGGCGCGCAGGCCGCGGACGCGACCCACGGCGGCCTCGGCAGCTGGCCCCGGGCGAGAGGACGCGGACGGGCGGCCCCGGCGGCCCGGAGCGACCCCGGCCACCCCAGACGTCCGCGCGCTCGACCGCCGCCTCTGCTCACCCTCTTTCCTTCCCCTGGGCTGCACCAATCTCAGGCCCCTACCCTCTCCAGGAAGTGGGCCGCCGCCGGAAGTGACGTCTTCAGACCGCGCCCCAGCCGCCCGGCGCGCGGCCCTTTCCGGCCTCGCCCTCCCCACGGCGGACCTGGCCCCACGCGTGGCAGCAGCCGCCGCCTCCTCCTCTCCCCACCTGGCACCTGGTTCTCGTCCTCGGACACCGTCCACCTGGCCCCACGCACAGACTCCTCCTCCTGGCCCCTGATCCTTGTCCCAGGACCCGGCGCACCTGGCCCCACGCCTGGCCGCCGCCCCTTCCTCCTCCGCCCCCACCCCGGCACCTGGCTCTAGTCCGCAGACGCGGCCCACCTGGCCCAGCGCGGCCGCCTCCACTTGGCACGTGGCTCTCGTCCTCGGACGCGGCCCACCCGGCCCCACGCGCAGACTCGTAGTCCTGACACCTGATCCTTGGCCTGGGACACGGCGCACCTGGGCCCACGCGCAGACTCCTCTTCCCAGCACCTGATCCTCGGCCTCGTCCCGTGGACACCGCCCTCCCAGCGGGTCCCGGGAGAGCTCAGCCTCCGCGGTGAGCAAACCCCGAAGGGGCTGGAGGGAGCCCTGTGTTTCTTCAGTTCTTCCCTGACACCGGCTTGGGAGAGTGGAACTAGTATTCTATCACGATGATTTAAAATAATTGGCACACAAATTATGCATGTTGGGATTGAAGTGCAATGTTTTCTCCCCCACCCATACCTACCATGTGCCTCATTAATGATTAACCAAAACAGCCACTTACACGTCAGCGAGTAGATCAGCTGGGGAGAAATTGTATGCGGCCTCCACCACAGGCGGAGAGATTCGAGGAGGGCTTGGGCGGGCTGCCCGGTGCTTTGGTCCAAGACAGAACTGTGAGGGCCACCTGCCACACGTGTAAGGTGTTATTGACAGCCTCCCCAGGCAAGAAAGGTCAAGAAAACGGAGCGCAATACCCATAGTACAGAGCAATCAAGGGAGAAAGAAGCCAGAGACATCACAAAGACCCTTTGTCGTTCTAATGCATATGTAGAAGTCTCAGTTTTGGGAGTTACTCTAAAGCACCATCCAGAACTTTAGCATTTGAGGACATTCAAGGCACTTTTGTTCTCCTTGGGGGAAATTGCAACATTCCATCAGGCCTCACAGGAATACTTTGGTTTCATTTCAAGGAGCTCAGGTCTTTTTAAAGTTTGAATCAAAACAAAGAACCAGCGCATTGAGAGGTGCAAAGAGGACAAAAATCAGACTTTTCTTCCTACAATTTAAAAATTCTTAGAAGAAATTGCCAACATATTTCCTCCAAATTGAACAGATTTTTTTTCCAGTGAACAAGCTAAACCAAAGCTGCTTCCTAGTCCATCTGCTTTCTCTGTAAAGAATTTTGAAAATGTACCAAATATGTAGTTAAAATCCTTCATAATTTTAAATATTGCAAAGTTTTAATTTCTGATATCCTGATGACATTCTGAAACTGCTAAATATCCTTTAAAAAATGTCCAGTAGACTTCAAATACAAGAGAAATACAATACCCATTCTCAGTCTTAAAGAATTATCAACAAGCTTTTATTTAAAAGTCAGAAATTTTACATCCTTTTCTCTTTCAACTCATTTCTATTCCACTTCCCCCAACAAAACTGTATCCTAAAGTAAAACATTCTTATACTAAAAAATTTTACTGATCACACTTTTGCAAGAGACCCATACAAATAGTCCATCATTTGTGGATTCTGTGCAAATTCACCTACTTGATAAGGTTTGTTTGTAACCTCAAATCAGTACTTGTGGCTCTTTGTTGTTTATAGACATGTGCAGAGCAGTGAGAAATTTGAACAGCCTTTACGCACACATTCCTAGCTGAACCTTCACAAGGCCATGCTCTGCCATCTTATTTCAGCTGGTAACGTAAGCAGATGGCCTTTTCAGTCTACTGGCACCGCATTTTTCACATTGTGCTTTTGTTGATTTTGCTGTTTTAAATGGCCCCCAAGCGTAGTGCTAAGGTACTATCTAATGCTCCGAAGCGCAAGAAGGCTGCAATGTGCCTTACAGAGAAAATACATGTGTTAGATAAGCTTCGTTCAGGCCTGAGTTATAGCGCTGTTGGCCGTGAATTCAATGTCAACGAATCGATACAGTACATCCAGAAAAAGAGGACATTCGCCGACCTGTACGTGAGGCCGCTCCAGAAAGGGCTAAAGTCACATCAATTGTGCGTGATGCAGCTATGGAAAAGATGGAAAAGCGACTAAATTTGTGGATTCGGGAGATGACAACCAATAAAAAGAACATAGTGGACAGTGTTGTTGGGAGGCTGAAAGCCAAGGAAATTTAGTCATGTTACCCAGGGTCAGGAAAAGGTTAAACCCTTCTCAGCTAGTGCAGGCTGGCTTGCACGGTTCAAAAGGCGATACCACATGAAAAATGTTAAAGTTGCAGGCAAGGCAGGTCCTGCAGATCAGGAAGCTGCAGAAGAATTTAAAAAGTATCTGCTAAGCATTATACATGAAAAGGGTTATATGGAAGAGCAGGTTTTCAATGCTGATGAGACAGGCTTGTTTTACAAGAATGTTGGTAAAGGAACCTATATAATGCAAATGGCCTCCCAGGCTCCTGGCTTTAAATCATTCAAAGACCGTGCAACCTTGCTACTATGTGCCAATACCAAGGGTGACTTTAAGTGCAAACCCCTAATGGTACACGGAGCACAAAACCCAGGAGCACTTAGAGGGAAAAATCTGAACCGCATGCCAGTCCACTGGAGGTGGAACGAAGCGTGGATGACATCCGGAATATTCTGGGACTGGTTCCACAACTGCTTCATCCCAGAAGCTGAACGCTATCTCCATAGCAAAAACCTTGCCTTCAGGATTTTATTAATTTTGGATAATGCCCCAGCTCATTGCCATGAAGAACTTGAAAATGCCCACCCTGACATAGAAGTTCTCTTCATGCGCCCAAACACTGCCTCTCTCATCCAACCCCTCAGTCAGGGCATAATAAAAGCTTTCAAGGCACACTACACCAGGGAGCTTTACAGCAAGGCTTTGGGGGCTCTCGACGCCAATGAGGAAACCACCATGATGGACTACTGGAAGTCCGTTGGTATATGCAACATTATAGATTATATCAGCACAGCCTGGGACAGCATCAAGCAGGCTGCTATTAATAACTGTTGGGGAAATGTTTGGCCAGACTACGTGAAACATTTTGAAGGCTTTGAAGGTGTTACAGAAAATATAAAGAACAGTGTCGAAAACATAATGCATTTTGCACAGCAAATAAGTGGAGAAGGCTTCAGAGACATGAGGGAGGGAGATGTGGAGGAAATTTTGGAAGAAATGGCAGTAGAATCCACCAAGAAAGACCTGGATGACATGGCAAAGCGTGGCACTGGAGTCAGTGATGATGATGATGGTGATGAAAGTCAGCCTAAGACTCCCAAGAATTGTCCCTCTCACAGCAGCCAAAATATCGGAATGGAATTCTGCCCTGGAAAAAATTTTCAATGACATGGAAGAGTGTGACCCTGTGCTGGAACACAGCCTCATGTTTAGGCGCCTGACCTCCACTGCATCCGACCCTTACACTGAAACACTTAAAGATTTGAGGCGAAAAGCCAAGCAGACAAGGCTGAAGGAATTTTTCAAGCCAGTTCGGGAGGGAACGTTGCTGACACCATCACCAAATTGTGAAAGCCAGACTCCTGGGGTAGAACCACGAGGTCTCACATGCCAGCCTCACTGACGCCTTCCTCTTTAGCCAAGTCAGTCACACACTCTCCTTTGGTTTTCCGGGGGGCAAGTCAAGGTCACGAGGTTTAACCACTCTGCCCTCTGCCCCATCACAGTGTAAGCACCACAAGTAAGGTTTTCCTTAATGTTTTCACAGGATCCCAAGTGTTTCATCTTTGTGTAACGCTTTCGCGTGTGACGGTCCTGTGCAGCATAGTGTGTGTGCCGCCTGCACACCATGTGTGCGACTGAGCCGGGGACGCAGGCACTGCATGGTGCTGTACCTGAGACAGTGTTTCCTTATGAAGGAACACCGCACACAACTAGTTGTTTGTAAGGAGCACATATTAAACGAGCTATCTTCACACAGAAATACATCGAAAACCAAGATCATGTGTCCTCTGGTGGACAAAATATTGTGATCTGAGCTCCAAGGAAACCAACCCTGCACTTCCCCCAGGAACAGTGGCTCAGGAGTTGCTAGCTCAGTGTTCACCGTGACTGTAGCACAAACTACCACAAATCACAAAAGTCAGCTCTACCTTTAAGATTATTAAGCCATAAAGATCTAATCATTACAATTTTTCTTCTAAAGTAGCACAACTATTATGAGTACAAACAATGGGAACAATACACTACAGTTTTTGAAGAAAATTATCAAATGTAAAATGTAAAACTTTACCTGGAAATGTGTATCTTAATGAGATGTAGAGGGTTTTTTTTTAATTAGCTCATTTACTCATGGACAACTATCACTTACTGCTAGAAATAAATACAGTCCAGCATTAATTGTATTCCTGTCTTGGGGGGTTTTATGCAAACACTGAGAAACCTCATTCCTAAAAATAAGTAAATAAAAAATGGAAGTTTTGTTATTTTGTAGCTTGATTCTTTGATGCCTTCTGAATTACATAGCCCAAGTCCAGATATAATCAATCTAATCAATCGTAAGTAAAATTTTGAAAGCATCAGTTAACAGCATGGTTAGGGTCTCCTGCAGTCTCTCTCAAAGCGAGCCAGTAGAAACCCCTGAGCTGCAAAATTCCAGACATTAAAGCCCTTTG